ATTTAGCCATCTTCCCCATGGGTAAGCAGAAAAGGCCTGGTTATTCTTTACCTGAACCTATTGGAGGAGGAGGTTGTATAGACTACATCTCACTCCACTTCTGGTGTTGGAAGAAAGAAATCATCTCAGAGGATAGGACAGGTGGCACTTCCCAAAATAAGGAAGCAAGTTCAGTTCCTGATATCTAAAGAAAGGGGACTGTGGAGCCAGTCTATGCCTGAGCAAACTACCAGTTTAGATCTAAAAAATGAAAAGGGTCTTCCCTTTCTCTCCATATTTCAAGGACCAGAACATGGTACTCCACACCTTTGAGTGTCAAGTTCCAACTTCAAAATGTCTAATATTTCTTTTTTTCCTCTGTCACCATTCTGTGATAGGAACTATCCACTTTGGCATGGCCTGACCTTTTTCCAGTTTCTTTGCCTTATAATCCACCCAATATACCAGTTCCAAATGAGTTCTCTAATAACATCTCCTCCTAGTCTCCTTTATAGTTAAAACCCTTCAAGAAGGCCCTATTGGATCCTACTCATGGTTCCCTTCTCAGTCTGCCATTACCCCCAACTTAAATATTCTTGGCCTTCTAGTCTCTAACCAGATTCCTTTCATTCCTTTAAGTCCCACATCCCTAGGATTCTTCCCCTGGGCTCAGTGATCACCTACATATTCAAACATTCGACAAGGATTTATTGAGCACAATTAAGTACCAGGAATCATGAAAATGCCTGTACACCTTTAAATAATTATGCACCCAAAACTGTAGACTTACTGAATTATGATCTGTTAACTTATCTGCCTCATAAATATTGAGTTCTAGATATTTAAAATGTTTCTAAGTAATCCAAGAAAGCACCACAAAGTTATGTTTTATTTATCATCATGTGTAATTATTTGAATGGAAAAATATATGTGAGTTATTAGTTCATTTTTAATAATTTAGAAACTGGAACTTAGTGATCTCTAAAATCCCTTTCAACAATAAACATCTAGAATACAAGATACTTGCAACAGACCACTAGATGTCGCCACTGACAACACAAATGTTAAAGCAAAGGCTTGCCATCATGGTTGCTTTCAGTAGCTTTAAAGAACACTACCAAAGGTAAAAAGAATGTAAAAATACTTTTATACACAATCTCTACAAAAGCATTGAGGAGTACCTTAGAGATCTCTATGCCTATGAAAGTAGCCCAGTGCCAGGAGCACAAGAATAGTTAAACACTTCTAGCTCCTTCTAGAAAAACCCTTAGTAATTTGCTGGTCAGGAGTTTAAAGAGGGAGTCATGGAATCTTAGAATTGGAAAGTAGCTTATTTATCCATTAATTTTAGATCTTGGGGCTGGGGATGTGGCTCAAGTGGTAGCACGCTTGCCTGGCATGCGTGCGGCCCTGGTTCAATCCTCAGCACCACATACAAACAAAGATGTTATGTCCGCTGAGAACTAAAAAAGAATAAATAAATATTTTAAAAAATTAGATATTTTGTAATGCCAGATTTGTGGGACCCCAATAGACCTCCAGGAGCCGAATCCGATGCAATCACACAAGAGTCTTTATTGCAAGCTCAAGCCTGGACTCACAACCGTGTCCGACACAGTGGTCCCAGGGATTGAGTCCTGGTCCTTTGTTCAATGAGATTTTATAGGTTTTGGGGGGATACTCTATGTGTCACAACATCAGACAGCAAATCATTCTATACCGTGGGAAAATCAAACAACAACTCTTAACATTGATTAGCACATTTACTGGCAGGAACAAGTTGGGTAGGGGTGATTGGTTAGTACTAGAGGGGGATTCCTTTGAATTGATTAGTTTAAGCCACGAGGGGTGTACGTGCTAAACTACATGATTTCCCAACATGTTATCAACCACCATAAACTACTGGGGGTCATCTGGCATCCCAGGTATTTTCCCTGTCTCATGCTGATTGGTGGTTGCTAAGGGGTTGCTATGGGTCCTCACCTAGCCTAACTGAGTTAGGGACACCTGGCGCTGCAGATCTCTCCTGTTATTTGCAGACAAACAACTCAGCAGGGTAGGTATGTGCCTAGAAAGGCTCTGTGGGTTTTTCCAAGGACAAAGGTCACTCCCCTTCCTTAGGACAGGCCTTGAGGTAGAATCTTCTGTTATTTATTTATTTTCAAAAATTGGAGTCACATCAGTTTCTCACTTTCTTACTTGGAGCTAGAAGTTCAGTCAATATCACAATCCAGCACTCCCCCCTGACACACTCACATGCATGCACATCCACAGAGATGCAGATAGATTTCATGTGTGGTATCAGACTATGTGTGCACACATGCACATACAGTTAAGCTTCATAATGACATTTTGGTCCACAACAGATCAATATATGACAGTATGTACCATAATGTACCATATAGCATAGAGGTATAGGGGGCTACACCATCTAGGTTCGTGTTTCTTTTTTTTTAATATTTGTTTTTTAATTGTGAGTGGATATAATATCTTTGTTTTATTTTTATGTGGTGCTGAGGTTTGAACCCAATGCCTGCCTCATGTGTGCTAGGTGAGCACTCTACCACTGAGCCACAACCCCAGCCCCTAGGTTTGTATTTCTCAGAACATAGTCCCATCGAGTTATGAATGACTGTGGTTGAAATCAAGTTTCAAAAAAAAAAAAAAATACTCTGTGCAATAAACTTTGATATTTTCTTTTTTATGTATTCTTCATTAGAAAAATACTGGTCATAAACTAACAAACTGAGTTTCCCTATCTAATATGCCTCCTTACATTTAATACATAAGAAAACAGAGGCTCAGGTGAAGTGACTTCAGGTAACAGAGTGAGCTAGGACTCAAGGATTTCAGGACATATACTGGTTTTCTTTTGAAAGGAACTGGATAAAAACTGAAAAGTGTCCTTGCCATACACCCAACCCGTCCTGTGCTTCTTTGTCTTCTAAGTCATGTGGCCAGTATAGTGTTGCAAAACAAACTGATGAATCTATGTATGATTAGTTCATTACATGCAGCAGTATTTTTAAAATACAGGTTTTTCTAAAATAAAAATGTTATACTTTAACTTGTCTATTCAAATTCCCTAAATGGCTCTTTGTGGTCTTTAGGCCATGTACAAATTCTCAGAGTGGCAGGAAGGCCTTCCCAGAGCTGACCCCAGAACTGCCAGCCAGCTTCATTCTTCATTCCCCATGTTTACCTTTGAGGGTTTTCCTCTACTCTCAACCTTACTGCCTCCTAAGTGCTTCAAGAGTCCACTCATCCTTTTTCTGCAAAGCATTCCTTGGCACAGTTGCACAGTTTCCCACACCTGGGTCATAGCAGGCACCCTATCCTTGAATCTCTTTCTTGTCATCTCCCCCACTGGACTGGGCTTTTTTTTTTTTTTTTTGAGTTGTAGATGGACACACCACCTTTATTATATCTATTTATTTATTTTTATGTGGTGCTGAGGATCAAACCTAGTGCCTCCCATGTGCTAGGCAACTGCTCTACCATTAAGCCACAACCCCAGGCCCTAGACTGTGCACGAGCCAGGGTTATGTCCCTCAGCTGCTATCCCTGGAACCCCACTTAGGGCTTAGCATATAACAGGAGCTTGATAAATATCCCTAAGAGATTTTATATGATTCAGATGCAATACTTTGATCAAACTTTATTCCTAAATTTAAAACTTCACAGGATCAGCTCTCTGATTAACATAAGGACTGGTTTTGAACAATGCAGAACTCCATTTCCAGGGGTATGAATAAAAACAAACCTATCATGAGAGAAATGTATATTAAAAAAAACAGTTTTGGTCTTTTTTTCTCTTAATTTTAGTCAGCTTTTTGTTGGGAGGAGGGGGTAATTTTGTTTTTTTAACTGCCTAGTACTCACTGATCCACACGGATCATCTGTGATCCATCTGTGCTCCTTCTGCTGGTCAAAGTGCTCTCCAACTCCTTCCCAGGACCTACCTTTCCGAATCCACTCAGAGAGGCCATTCTTCTGCACATGCGCAGAGCACACCAAAAACAGTGGTTGTCTTAAATTGACTACTATCCACCACAAGCCAGAGGGAGATCAGAGAAAAGGAGAAATGAGTAACAGCTTCTAATGACGAAGTGCTGTGAGCAATGAAGAGAACTATCAGTGGAGGCTGCTGTGGTGTCCAAGATGGCTTTGTGTGTTATGCTCGAATTCGGGACCCCCAAAAGACCACCAGAGACCCAAGATCGATGTAAGCAGCAAAGAGGTGTTTATTGCAAGCTACCTCGGTCCTCTGCACACACACAGCAACTGGTGACGCTCAGAGGCCCCGAGCCCAGGGTTTGCAGCAGTTTTATACATTCTTTGGAGAAGGCAGGGACCCCCACATACGTCATAGCATCTCTTAGCAAATCATCACACACCGCGGGAAAATCAAATAACAACTCTAAAACATGATTAGCACATTCACTGGCGGGAACAAGTTGGGTAAAGGTGATTGGTTACTACAAGAGGGGGTTTCGTTTGAACTGATTGGTTTAGGCCATGAGGGGTGTTTGTGCTGAACTACATGGTTTCCCAACATGTTATCAACTACCATAAACTACTGGGAGGGTCATCTGGCATCCCAGGTATTTCCCTGTCTCATGCTGATTGGTGGCTGCTAGGGGGTTGCTATGGATCCCCACCTAGCCTGAGTCAGTCAGGGACACCTGGCATAGCAGATCTCTCCTGTTATTTGTAGATAAACAACTCAGCAGGGTGGGAATGTGCCTAGGAGTGCTCTGTGGGTCTTTCCAAGGACAAAGGTCATGTCCCTTCCTTGGACAGGCTTTGCTCTGAGGTAGAGGCTGGTTTTTCATGTGGAAAAGGTGAACACATGGACCAGGCTGGGAACCCATGGAGAGATGTGGAGAAGAAAGCATTTCTGGTCAGGAACCAGGAGGAGCAAGGATGTTATCCTTTATCAACGCTTATTCCCTGTAGCATTGTGTTGAGTATGAAACACATTCAGATTTATGTATTATTTGATTTTCTCTATGCCCTTGTCAGGTAAGCAAGATAGACATGTGGTCTTTATTTTAGAGAAATAGTAAAAAACAACAAAAACAACAACAACAACAAAGGAGATGAAGGAAATTGGCTCAAGTCACTCAGTTAGCAGCTAAGCAGACTGGGTCTAGTTCTCAGAACTTCTGCAGACCCAACAGTTCAAGTAGGCCTCAAAGGACAAGTAAGTGATTTTCCCCGATGTACAGATGAGGAAACTGAGGACTCAAAACGCAAAGCAAATTTTCCAAAGCTACACAAAATCAGCCTTATTCTCCACTGAAGGTGCTTTGCGTTATATTAGCTGGAGAGGAAATGGAGAGAAAAAATTCTTTTATCACCGAGAAAGAATTTTGTCTCTTTGAGGAAACAAAAGATTTCCTAATTAATTAATTTATTTTAATTAGGCATATATGATAACAGAATGCATTTTGATTTATTGACACAATTGCAGCACAACTTTGAATTTCTCTGGTTGTACACAATGTAGGGACACAGCATATGTGCAGCATATGTGTACCTAGGGTAATGATGACCATCTCATTCCACCATCTTTCCTGCCCCCAAGCACCCTCCATACTCTCCCTCCCTTTTGCCCAAATTTCCTCCATTTTCCCATGCCTTCCCACTTCTAATGTTTAATTATTGATGGGGTAACAATCTGTTAGTACAGCTGCATTTTAAAAAAGGTAAATTTTTATCAATCAAGAAATTAAAAAAAAACATTTCTGAAAATGAAGTTGCCTAAGGAGATGGATCTATCTGGGGAAGGAAGTCTCCAAAATCTATATGCAGTCTTCAGAATTTGTATTGCCTCTGATGAAGTTTCAGGTCTTCATCAATCAGAGAATAAAAAGGTTTTGTTTTGTTTTTAATTTAAAACAAAACTACCTTGGCCCAAAGGATAACTAGTATTTCCAGACAAGTACATAATTTGGTATATATATATATATATATATATATATATATATATATATATATTTTTTTTTTTTTACACACCAGAAATGGCATGGCTTGGGAAATGACTTGCTGAGAAATCTGTGTTTACATTAGGGAAAGTGAGGAAAAAAAATCCCTTGCAGAGTTGAAAAGATGTTAAATGGTAAATACTAAAATGCCCAGCAAGCATATAAACAGGCTCCTATTCTAGCATGAATATGTGCAGCTCAGCATTTTAAAATTTACTTTTAGCTTTTCTAACAGTTTGAATTAACCCCTTCTCTCCTCTGCTCTCCTTCTGAGAGTTCAGCCCTTAACCTGTAGATGTGGATTAGGGGTTCTGTCATGGTCTTTCTTGAATCACCAGCAGACAATCCCTTCACTCTAACAGTGATTCCCTATTTCATAAAGCCATCTCTGACCCATACGAGTAGGCTACTACCTTAGTCCACTTTATGTTGCTATAACAAAATACTTGAAACTGGGTAATTTATAAGGAAAGAAATTCATTTGGCTCATGGTTCTGGAGGCTGGGAAGTCCAAGGTCAGGCTGCTGTATCTAGAAAAGGCTTTGTGGTGCTTCAACTCATGACAGAAAGTAGAAGATAAATCAGCATGTGCAGAAGAGCAGAGGGGACAAAGGTGGCTGACCTGCTTTATAGCAACCCACTCCTATGAGAATAATCCAGTTCTGCAAAAAATCCATCAGTCCTTCTTGATAACATAGCCACTATTGAAAGGTCTCACCATTTCTAAACACCATTATATTGGGAGTCAAATTTCAACATGAATTTTAGAGGGGACAAACCATATTTAAACTATAGCAGCCACATGGTGAATAAATGCCCCCTAAATTTTCTTATTATTCATGTAAGACAACCCATGACTTATAGTTTTTGACTTTATGATGGTGTGAAAGGGACACACATTTAGTAGAAACCATACTTTAAATTTTGAATCATGATATTTTCCTTGGTTAGTGATTTGCATTCCAATATTCTCTCATTGATGCTCAGCATCAGCATTGAGCTGCATTTTCCTGTCAAACTTGAGATTATTGGATAAACAACCAATATTCTACAGGATACTGTGTTGCCAGGGTTGGAGGGACATTGTGTTTTGTGTTTTAGCATCTAATCATCTCTACATGATACCTAGCTGTGTGTGTTTGTGAGATATTCAACACTTTTTTTATACAACAGACTTTGTGTTAAGCTATCATGTTCAGCAAATTAGGTGAACTTTAGACCTATGGTATTTTCAACTTATTACGAGTTTATCAGGATGTACCCTCATGGTAAGTTGAGGAGCATCTGTGATGCCCAGATGAACATTTGAAAGCAAGTTCACCTTGCATAAAATTGTAAGGCAAAATAATACCTATCAATGCCACAATAAAAGTACATTTTAAAAAAGTAGGAGAGGTTATCCAGGTTTCCATCAGAATCACCCAGAGAGGCTGTTTTAGAAGGTGGCCCTAGCATTTGTAACTGTAAAACATCCTCAGATAATTCTAAAGTACATCGTTTGTTGAAAGAAACTAATCTAGATTGTCTCAAGGGCCAACCAAATTTTTCTCCTAATTTCAGTGCCTAATAAATTAAAATGAAAAACAAACAAATAAAAAATCCCCAACAAAAGAAGCAATTAAAACAGACAATGGGGGTTGCGCTTGCCTAGCATGTGTGAGGCAGTGGGTTTGATCCTCAGCACCACATATAAATAAGCAAAACAAAGATCCATTGACAACTAAAAAATGTTTAAAAAATAAACAAACAAACAATGATGTACCATTGTGAGTGTGCGTGTGCATATGTGTGTGTATTTGTGTGTGTGTGTGTGTGTTGCTGGGGATGGAACCCAGGGTCTCACACATGCTAGGCAAGTGCTTTACCACTGAGACCCATCCCCAACCCCAAGGTTTATCTTAATATCTTACTGTTAAAACTTATTTATAAACTGAGTGAATAACAATTAATTATAAGAAAGGTGAACACTCGATGAATATTTGTATAATACTTTCCAATATTTTCTCATACATTAATAATCTTACGTGGTTCTCACAGAAACCTCCAAGTTAGCTTATTTTCTTAAAAAGATGAAGAAAATAAGTCTCAGGGATATGGAGATTTGCACAAAAAACTCCCTACTGCAGTAGAGCAATTATGGATTTGAGAATTGGAGGGACAAAATGAATATTGTTTTATTACTATAGGTAAAAAATTTAATGTTTAAATATTTTCTATAGTCTTAAAAAACTTCTAATCTATACCATACTTTGCTTGTTAAAGCACATTACTTCACTTATAATAAACTATTGTGGCTGGGTACAGAGGCGCACGCCTGTAATCCCAGTGGCTCAGGAGGCTGAGGCAGGAGGATCATGAGTTCAAAGCCAGCCTCAGCAATAGTGAGGTGCTAAGCAATTCAGTGAGACCCTGTCTCTAAATAAAATACAAAATAGGGCTGGGGATGTGGTTCACTGGTCGAGTGCACCTGAGTTCAATTCCTGCTGCCCCAAATATTGTGCTTTTTCTTTAATCTGTTTCTCTCTCTCTCTCTGAATAAATTAGAAATAATTAATTTTTCCTGAACTTGATTATGGGAGAATAATTTAGTAAAGGTTATTATGTTTATAAAATTAGTTTTCAGGAACATATATATCCTGTACTTTAATTTTCATCACATTATATTAAAATGAATGCATAAATATATTTCTCCATCAATCTCCATATCAGAAAAAGGAATGTGAAGTGCTTAGCCCAGAAAAAAATGACTTGTCAGTGCCTCAATGATGTCAGGATTTATAGTATTACTGAACTAGATTCATTTTTTGTTATTTACAGTGATTTGTATCTTTGACATGTTTTTTTTCTAAAAATTCAGTGTATCAAATATGAGTTGCCACAGACATTTTTTTCCTGGGGGAAAAAAAAAATTCCATGTCAAATCTTGGCAATGTGGAATATTGCACAGTTTTGATCTCATTAAAACCAGGGCTGGTCAGGTAAACTCTTGATGCTCTTCATGCCACAATCTGTAAAATCAATAGAAGAATCTGAAAACAAGAACAAAACAAAAACCAAGAGAATAAAAACAAAACAACAACAACAAAACACACTGTTGACTGAGCAATAAATGATTATTTCAAGAATATCAGTGCTATTATAAAATTGTCTACACTTGTAGCTGGTTGAGTGCTACTTCAAGAAAGTAAAATGCTTCCTAAACAACTGGGTAGGGTATTGTTGGAGAACTAAAGAACAAGTGTTCAGCCATTAAAGATGAAAACAAACTTTCCAGATAGCAGGGATGTATCTAAGTGCAAGAGAAGCACCAGAATCTTTCTAACAGCAAAACATGAAATCTAGGCTTTTCTTTTTACCTTGTCAAAGGGCATTTGACTCATCCTGAGAAGTTGCTATGGCATAACTGAAAGGAAGATTGAGCCCAACAACCGGCCCTACGATGCTCAGCCATGATGTAATATAGTTGATGTTCCTAGGAAACAAGAGAAATATGGAAAATATTAATATTTTCATTGTCATTTTTGGATGAATGGTGGAAAAGCAGTTAGTCACTGACAAGAACAAAAATGAGGCTTTCTTTAAGGAGGAGTGCCTACCTGGAATTCCAGCATTTCTGAATGCCAGCCCCATTATTTGACAAGAATTAGAAGTCCATAGAGGATGTTAGAATCCCTCACTAAGGAAGTTGAAGGACAAGATAAGCAATGGGGTTCCTGACTCCCCTTGATGACTCAAAATTTATACCTGAAATTCACAGCATTTATTAAGGCAACGAACTTCAGTGATTAGGAGCATGGTTTTGAGGTAAAAATGTTTTGGATTCAAATTCCAGTTCCACCACTTAACTAGCTTTATGACCCTGGCAGAGTCTTTAAATTCCTTTGTGTTTTAGTTTCTTTCTCTATAAACTGAGTAATATAATGGCACTTAGTTCATAGGGATGTTATAAAAGTCCAATGTGTTAATATCTCTAAAGCTCTTATAACAGCACCTAGCATATAGTAAAAATCAATGTTTTAGTCATTATTATCATATTTCTGTTTTAGCCTGGCTTTTGGAGTTACAGGAAAAGATTTACACTTTTAAAATCAGAGTAGGGGCCAATGTATCTTAAGGGTATTTCTTACCTATTGATTTTCTGAGAATTCTTTAATACAGGAGCCATGAATTCATTAGTCTTGCAGGGATGAAGTACAAAAAAGGGTTGCCCAAGTATTGGATGTTCCTGTAAGAACCAGAGTTGGCCCAGAATTGTCACTGAGGGTTACTTTGAAAAAGTTACGGTATACCTTATATATAAACAGAGATACGATAAATTGTGGTACAAAGGTGTATTAATAATTGTAATGCAAAAAAAATAAGAGAGCTCATGTATAATGGCATAATTTGGCATGAACATACTTTATGTACAGAGTTATGAAAAATTGTGCTGTGAATGGATAATTATGAATGTAATTCATTCCACTATTGTCATGTATGTAAGAAACAAAAAAAATGAAAAAGTTACAGTAGATAATCTGGTTTACTTCTTCAAAATGAAGGGTTGTCTTGAATTCCAAGTTACTGAATTAGCATACAGGTTGATTTCCTATTTTGAAATATAATTTATAATCCAAATGTGAGAGGTTGGTGAGAATGAAAATTCATTGATAAAGGAGTATTGTCAAGAATAGTGAGGCGCATGGATTTACAAACTATAGATGATTTTTTTCAGTTTCCTCTGTTTGTTGGCTAATCTATCTTTTTGGAGTGCAATTCTCTTTTAGTTTGTCTTCAGGGATGTCCAGGAAGCCCAGTATCTTGACTATGCATTTCACTCATCTCTGTCAATGGTAAAGGAATCAAAATCATCCCCTACTCTCAATTTCTCTTTTCTGTTTATTTCCTTGGTTTCTCCCAAGCTTACAGGCTGTTCCTATATGGTAAAATCTCATATGATATAACTCCATTTCCTTTATAAAAGAATAATTGGATATAAGGTATAGGTTAGAATGCTGCTGGTTTTGAGATGGCCATCGTTTAGTAAGCAATAGGAAGCCCTAGAAGGCTTCTATATTGTAAGTAAACTTATACAAAGATTATCAACACACAAAAAGTTTATTGATGATAAGTTCATCAATTTTACATTGTGGATTAAAAAGTGTGGCACACACCACAAATTCAAATAGCTATGGTGTCCAGCCAGATGACCCAAAGGGGGAATGACAGTTAAATACACCAACAGCAAAAAGGACTACCACCAACAGTTTGGACCAACTGGAGAGTGCTGCCATCTAAGGCCATGCTTGCTACTCTGCTCCAGCTGATAGTGCCATGTGGGAAATTGAGCCCAGCATGCCAGACCTCATTTGTCAAGGAATTGTAATGCAAAAAAAAAAAAAAAAAAAATAGTGTTACCTTAGATTAGGTAGAGGGAACTGAAAGGAGGGGAAGGCAGGGGATATGGGGATAAGAAAGATAGAAGAATGAAACAAGACATTATTACTTTATGTATATATGTGACTATATGACCAATATGATTCTATGTGTATACTCAGAAAAATGAGAAATTATATCCCATCTATGTATGATATATCAAAGTATATAAGTGCATTCTACTGTCATGTATAAGTAATTAAAACAAATAAAAAATTTAAAAAAATATGCTAGAAGATCAAAAGTTCATGTAAAGCCTCCTATATTTAAATACTGGTACATTTTTAAAAACATAGGTGAGCCAAATACAACAGCTGTATTTGAACTAGAGGCTGCCCAGCTGCTTCTCTTGACTTCTCTTAGCCAACTCGCTGAGAGCTAAACTCAGATCTGCTCATGGGAAGAATCATGTGGTTGTTCCTGCTGCCTCCACCCTCAGCCCCAAGCATTCACATCTGCATGCATGGGCCTACACTCACTCGCAAGAACTGGGACAGCCAGTTGCATTTGTATTGGTGACATTGGGAGTGGAGATTTGGGGGTTTGTGTGGAGGGAAGAGTTGTCCATTAATAATAGACTGCTGTATGATTCTGTGTGCCCGGCCTGGCATTTTTTTCTCCCCAAATACCACCTCTAAACATCTCTGCCCAGTAGCTTGATTTTTCCAGCTAAGGGTCAGCCTCCTCCATCCAGCTCTTTTTCTATCTCACATTCCCAGCCCTAACTGGACTCTGGGGTCACAGTTCAGATGTTAGTTATGCCTATGGCAAGTCTCCTGTCCAGTTTTATTCTGGTTTCTCTTATCTGCCTTAAATTAATATCTATTTTATATATATTATATATAATATAAATTATATATATTATAAAATTCATCTTTTATCTGTTTGCCAAGAACAGTTCTGAATATAGTTATAGAGATAAGCAAAGTCTCTGATCTCATGGAACTGATTCCAGTATAGGAGACAGCCAACAAACATGGATAAATACACAAGATAATCCAGATAGTAAGTGCTATGGGAGAACCTAAGAGGGTAATAAAATTCTGGAGGGATCAAGGTGATATTAGATTTGGTGAAAAGGAAAGCCTTACTGAAGAGATGTGCAATGGTAAATATTTATATCCCTCAACCCAGATTCAGGTGATGAAATCCTAACTCCCAAGGAAGAGTGGAGAGAGTGGAGGCTATATTAGAACGTGGGGTCTTGGTTAGGTTTTGATGGGAAGAATGTTCTCAAAAATGGACCCATTTCACTCCCTTCTTGTTGTGAAAGTACCCAGCAAGAAGACAACCATCTATGATCTTACACTCCCTAGCCTATAGAACTGTGAAAAATAAATGTTGTTTAAACCACCCATTTTCTTATGTTTTTGTTGTAGCAGCCTGAACAGACTAAGACAAGGTAATATTTTTACAGAAATCAGAATGACAAGAAAAAGCCAACTGTGCAGAGGTCTGGGGACACAGTGTTGAGGCCAGAAGACCCTAAAAGAAAGTGAGCATAATAAATGTGCAAAGGAAGCCAGGTGTGGTGGAACACACCTGTAATCCCAGCAACTCAGGAGGCTGAGGCAGGAGAATCACGTGTTCAAAGCCAGTCTCAGCAAAAGGTGAGGTACTAAGCAACTGAGTGAGACCCTGTCTCTAAATAAAAATACAAAATAGGGCTGGGAATGTGGCTCAGTGGTTGAGTGCCCCTGAGTTCAATCTCCAGTACCAAAAATTAAAAATAAATAAATAAATAAATAAGCAAAGGAAATACAAAAGAACTTTAGAGTTATTCTGGACCAAAATAAATACTGTTTAGAGGGTTGAGATCTGAAAAAATAAATGTAGTCTAAATTCATTTTGGATAACTCATACAGTTTTTAGTGGAAGGAATAGCAACCCATATAGCAACTCAATCATACTGATATGAAGACATATTACCTTCTTGATAAAGTAAAGCCTAGATCTCAATGATTGCCTTGGACAGAAACACTTATAATGGGGAGAATCATGTTAATTATATAGCCTCCACTCTCTCCACTCTCCCTCACTCCCCTTGGAGATTAGCATGGCCACTTTCATATTGATCTCATAGGGAAACTCCTCCAACATTGACCATTCTTATCTGGCTTCCCACAGCTGAGGCACAACAGACTGTTCAAGTAAGATTTTACTAAAAACTTGGGAATACTGAACATGGTAATATTGTGTTCTTAAAGATCCAGACTGGGGCTCTCAGGCTCCTTTGAGTCATGTGGAACACTGGCTAGGTCTTCCCTTCCTGGCCTATATATGATGGAAACACAACTCCCACCTAAGAGGGTCTTCAAGAATCATCACCCCTCACAATTGAGTTTCCTTGGGAACTTAGTGACTCTTATAAGGAATGGGTTCATGTACAGTCAAGACCTTGCTTGCCTCTTGTTTACGGGTGTAGGGCCTACCTTTTGAAGACCTCAAAAAAATAACACATGCCCAAGAGGCACACAGACATTCACAGTTCAGAAGGCCATTTTCTCAGAACAGACTTAGGATCAGATCACACTGTATCTCTGCTCACTTGATGCTGCTTAGTGAAGACCTGAACTTTACTTCTATAACTTATCATTTGCCCATTCCATATAACAAGTAGGTAACAGTATGCCTGAGCTCTGCCTGTAGTTAAGACTCTTTGGGGCCAAGTCCTATTCCACCACTTAGTAACTGTGAGTTTAAGGGAAAATTTGTTAAGCATTTTATGTTTCTTTTTTCTTATCTGATAAATGAGGCTACCACAATATCTGCCTCATAGATTGTGACCCTTCACTGAGATCAAGTATGATGAACAGTGCCTAACAGAGAGCAAAAACCTAACTGGCTATTATTATCCAACTCCTTCATATCCAACAGACAAAAATGAAAGCCATTAAGAAGATGGTCTTATGGTAAAATCAGACCTTAAAAACCTTATAGTACATCTATCCTTAACTTCATTGAGACCTCATGTCTATGTAATTAAATAGAATATATTAAAATAACTGTCTTTAATAATTGGAAGTTTAAACTTCAGTTGGATTTTAAAATAAAAATATATCATTTTGGTAAAATGCTTTTGGTTAAACAAGATCAAGCTATGAAATGTTGATCAGCTTAAAGTAGGAATTGTTATATACACACACACACACACACACACACACACATAATATAATTTCTCTCTCTTTTTTTTACAGTAGAATGCATTTTGACATACTATATATAAATGAAGCACAATTTCTCATTCCTCTGGCTGTACATGGTGCAGAGTCATACTGGTGATGAATCATACATGTTTATAGAGTAATAATGTCTGTCTCATCTACTGTCCTACCCATCCAAACCCTACCTTCACTGCCCTCTACACAAACCAAAGTTCCTTCATTCTTCCCTATCTCCCCTCCCTCACTATGGATCAGCATCCACTTATCAGAGAAAACATTTGGCTTTTGGTGTTTTGGGATTGGTTTATTTTACTTTGCATGATATTCTCAAGTTCCATCCATTTACCTGCAAATTCCATTTTTCTTTAAGGATAAGTAATATTCCGTTGTGGATATGTACCACATTTTATTTATCCATTCATCTATTGAAGGGCATCTTGGATAGTTCCATAGTTTAGCTATTGTGAATTGAGCTCAATAAACATTGATGTGGCTTTGTCACTGTAGTATGCCGACTTTAAGTTCTTTGGGTATAAACCCAGGAGTGTAATAGCTGGGTCAAATGGTGGTTCCATTCCAAGTTTTCTGAGGTATCTCCATACTGCTTTCCATAGTGGCTGCACCAATTTGCAGTCCCACCAGCAAT